CAGTGGTGTTCCTAGAGATAACCTCGGGGCTTCTCTCCCTGGTGGGATTCGAGTGCTGCAGTCTGTCCTTGCTCCAGGCAGTAGCGTTTGGTGTGGGCCAAGGTTTTTTTGGGGAAGACTCTCCTCGTGAGGAGCAGCATCTTGGCTCAGGGCGAGCAGCCTGCAGCAGCGGCAGAAGTCTCTGCCTCTTCCTTCCACGCTGGAGCCCAGCACGTGCCTCTCCTGGTAGCTCTTGCTTCTGGCGCAGCTCTTCTCCCTTTCCCTGCTCCTGAGGGGACTGGCAGCTTTGGTCCGTCTTTAGGGCTGGAATTGCCTTATCTGGCATAAGTCGCTTTTGCTTGGTGTCTGGTGTGGAGCCCTTGGGAGGATGGGGGGGTCCTCCCTGCTGCTGTATTGGGAGCTGAGCGAGCTGCTTGGTGTAGACATCCCTCTGCAATGACAGGCTCCCTAAGGATGGATGGACTGCTCTGAGCCACTGGGTTTTGGCATATCCACGTACAAAAGGCGTACAGATTCCTCCTAGCCCAAGATGAGCTCTTTTTTTTTTTTTTTTTTTTTTTTTTTTTTATTACTAGCCTGGGGTAGAAGTACCTGTACTGTCCCTGGGGCTGAAAGCATCAGCTGTGTCCTGCCTGGTACCTTCACGTGGTGGTTAACCATAGCACTGTCCTCTGCCTTCTCTCTAATACCCATCTGAAGTCATAATTCACTGGCTGATCAGAGCTACCCAGGAGGGATTGTGGGATAATCTGCATAATAATGTTGGGGAATTAGTCAACTCCTGAAGAATATCTAAACAGCTGGCTATTGGCCATGAGTGAGTATGAATTACATATGTAATGTAATTAATATCTTTCAAATAAGTGTCAGGCGTAGGGCTCTAAGCACTCATCTGAGTTTCTTTCTTTGTGCACCACCTCTCTCCTTCCGGGAAAAATATGCTGGAGTTCTTTCCCAGGTGCCTTCTGCATCCTCCCCTCCCAGCAGGATAAAGCTGTACTTCTTCCCTAAACACTGGTTGTGTGCTTGGTTCAGTGGAGGAATCCTGCAGCGGCTTCTGCTCGGGGAATAACATCTCTGAGCTCTCTTCCTGGGCTGCAACGTGCAGATCTCTCCCTCCCAGCCGTCTGTGTGCGGTGTGGGTTGGTTTGCACAGCTTTCCCAGGGAGCAGCTCGAGCGCAAAGTCTGGCTCTGGGTTGCAGCCGGTTTGCTCAAACCTGGAGCTGAGGTCCCCTCGCTGCAGCGTGTGGGAAGTCACGAACGATGGCAGAGAGGTGGGGGGCTCCCTGTCGACGTGCTTGGAAAGTCCTGCATCAGTTTTGCTTGGCTAACACGGGAAAGGTCTGCTTGGCAACCACGGAGGCTCAGAGGCTGCTGTGTCCTGTCTATATTTAGTTTTAAACACATTCTGGAGGAGGGGAGGCTTTTCCTTGAGAAGGCATCCTGTTGCCGGGAGCGTGCTGCGGCTGAATCGCTACCCGCGTTCGCTTCGGGTCGTGGTGAGGTGTGCGCGGACAGCGTGGGTCTGGGGAAGGGGTTGAGTTGGAGGCAAGGAGCTCTGCCATCCCTGTCGTCCTCCTGCAGATGAGATGTGTCATGCAGGGCAGAGCTAGAGTTCCTGTGTTGGGATTCATCTATAGCATCGTGTCATCTCCCTCAAATCGTTCTGTGTTTGCCTCTGCGGCTCTGGGATTCTCAGAAGAAACAATTTTCATCTTCTCCGCTGGGAGAAGTAATAATTGGCAAAGGAAGGAATCTGAGCCCAGGTTGTCCCTTCAAGTGGCACGTGGCAGCACCACGCGTCCCCTGGGTTACCCTGCATCCAGGCTGGTAGCACCCTGGCACAGCACTTCACAGTCATGCCTTGGTCTTGGTCTTTCTGGGCATCTGCAGCCTCCCCAGGGCCTAACTGTTACCATTTCCAGTTGTTAATTAACTGATTAGCATCAGTCACGTGTACGTATGCAGCGCTGGTTTTGGGAGAAGGGGCTTCAAGCAGGGGGCGTGCGTCAGGCGTTTGGAGGGATGCTTCCTGAGGCTCGGAGTTTCTGTTCCCGCTGCATAGGGGAATTTGTAACCCGTTTCTGGTTTTTCTTCCCCCTTAACGTAGGGTGTTTATCAACCAAGGGGAAAAACTGCCTGTCCAGCTGCAGGAGGTGTTCAGTGGCACCAGGGAACGCCTCTGGTGAACCATTCTTGTTTCCATCACAAATGAGCGTGAGGAAAGGAAAAACCTTCACTTAGACCTTGCTGAGGTTGCTGTCCCACGAAGGCAAGCTGAATGCAACCCTTAGGCTGGAGGAATGTGCCATGTCCCTGCTGTCCCCATGTCCCGCTGCAGGTATAACGTGTCAGCGGTGCCCTGGCCCGCACCTTCCGTCTTTTCCCGAGACCAGGGTGGGACGTGTGTCTCTTCCCAGAGGGGACATCCCTGCCCATCCAGGCAGCATAGTACCCTGAGCCTGCTCCTGAGAGCAGAGGATGTCCTTGTGGTCGTCTTTCTCCACCGCTTCCAATAGCTCTCCAAAGCCCGCTGGAGAAAAGGAAAGGGTCCGTAGCATCTGCCTGGGTGCTTTGGCAAGAGGCACTTGCTGCTCCAGAGCTTTGGATGGTACATGCAGCCTGGATACGCTCCGATCCTCATCCTGGGCCCCGGTGGGAGGACATATTCCTGCCTCCAGCTGCCGAGGGCTACTTTCTGCTTGGGTTTTTCTCACCATCGGGTGTCTCGAGCTGCGGGGGGCTATGGAACAGGAGGGTGATTTTTCTGAGCTGACGGGGACTCTCCTCCATTTTCCAGGTTCAGTTCCCTGAGGTTAGTGTGCATAAGGTAGAAGAAAGACTGGCAGGAGCTGTCTGATGCCCTCCGGGGATTTTTATTGTCCATTCACATGCTGAGGTCCGAGGGGAGAGTGTGAGTGCAACTGGTGTATTGCTTTTACTGATCCAAAATAAAGGAGCTCTGCTCCCTCCCCCGGGCCGGGGAAAGCAGTTTCTGGTGCAGATCCGTATGGAGTCTGGGGATCTGTCAAGGTGGCTGTGCTGGAAGATGGTTTATTCCTCATTGCAAAGGGCCTGGGAAGTTTGGTGGACTTGGCAGCTGCGGCCAAGGCTGAACCCCGCTGCTCCGCATCCCCTCGCTGCACGGGACGGCAGCAGCATCGGGAGGGGGAGCAGGGAGGAAGAGTGGAGGAGAGGCAGTGTGAACGCCCTGTTTTTCTGAAACCTATGGGATACAGCTGGATAAGTAACAGGGCTGATGCAGGATGTGGGGAGTGGGAAAACAGAGGAAATGGAGAATGGGCCCTGGCTTTGTGTCGGCGCGTGCCGAAGGGCGAGCGACTGGCACTGGCTCGCAGTGCTTTGTTCTGGGTGGTAGCGGCTCGCTGCAGGGCAGGGCTGCCGACGTGGCTCGGGAAGCACAACTTGCCAGCCGTGAGAGGTTGGAGAAGAAGTTGGGATGCTGGGGGAGAACCCCATCCGTGACCCAAAACCCAAACTTGTGTCCCGGGACTGCTGTCGGGCAGCCAGAGCCGGTTCTCTCCGCAGCAGCGCTGTGTGCGGAGCCTCTCCAGCTGCGCCGGGGCTGACTCACAGCGCGGCGGTCACAGCCAAGTCAGGTCAGCCCGGCCTGGAGGGGAAGAGACGGCCTCTAGGGACGGGAATGCCGTCAAATCTTCCAGCTTCACAGGCAAACAGCCTTGCCCTCTGCCTGCCGGGCTGACCTCCTCTGCCAGGCACGCATTCCCCTCCCTGTTCCCTCTCACCACTGCTGTCTTCAGCTCTGCATCTGGAGGTTGCCAGCCAGGTATGGAGCAGATGGTGGAGCCAGTGGGAGCATGGAAAGAGCCAAGGGAAGGCTGGGAAGGCAGGCTGGGACAAGCAAAACCTCTCTTTGCAAGGCGGAGCACTCAGCAGAGAGTATTTGCTGCAGATCCTGGCCTCTGTGACCACAAGCATGATTCCCAGGAGGTGAAGCAGCTCCGTTTGGCCCCCGGAGCACCTCCTTCTCCCCCACAAGTGGATGCTGCAGAGCAGGGCTCCCGCAGGCAGCAGCGCACTCCCCTGCCGGCCTGACCTTGGCTCTCGCTGGCCGGGGCAAGTGTGCTGGCTGCCAGGTAGTGATGCAGTTAACGCCGTTGTGTTGCACAGCAGCCAAGGGCTTGTATGACTAAGGAGAAGGGACTCAAGCAGGCTTTGGGATTTGTCCACCAAGCTGGACTCCAATTCGTGTCATGATGGCAGGGTCCGGCGTGACCCTCAGCCACGCAGCCGGTGTCTGTGGGGTGCCAGGAGTTGCTGCCGGTGCCCAGCCCGCTCCCTACAGCGTGAGGTGCCAGTCCCTGTGCCAGCAGTGCTCGTGGGGATCTTGGACCGGCAGTCAGAGCCACGTGGCTCGTTAGCCGTTGGCTCAGCAGTGCCCTTAGCCTCGCTGTGCCAAGAGGCACCAGGATATGATCGTGGCTGTTCCTCCTAGCCCTGGCAGCTGTGGCAAAGATCCCTGATAAACTCACAGGGCTCTCTTCCCCGTGTCTTTTCATCCTGGACTTTGTTTAAGGTGTGAAAACAACCTGGCTCTCCCTCTCTGAGGACTCTCTCCCTCCCTGCCTATGCTGTGGTGGGGGTTTTGGGCTGGGTTTGGGGGAACCAAGGTGCTGAGGCTGCCTCCCAGGGAGGAGGCTCAGGCTCTGTGCCAGATGCAGCTCGGCTCCCTGGGAACTGCTGGACTGGCTTGGCATGGGGGAGCATGGGGGTGCAGCTAAATCCAGGCAGTAGCTGACTGGTTTCCTGCTGCCATTTGTGCCCAGAATAGGAGCTGTGGACAGGCCATAGGGATGGAGGAGAGGGAGGCAGAGAGCAAGCTTGGTGCTGCTTTCACGCTGAAGGGCCCCACGGTGATGCCTCTGGAGGTCTTTTCCCTTGGTGGCTTTGGGCTGTGCCTTTGAAAGGACCAGGAATTCTCAGCTGGAGGTCCACAAGCAGTGCCCCATGCACCCAGGAATGGCTGTTACTTGTGGACATCCTCCCTACGTGGCTCAGACACCGCTTGCTGCTGACTTGCCTCCTTTGCTGTTCCTTTCCCAGTCCTCCGTATGCTCCAAGATCGTCCAGCTGCTGGGCCAGAACGAGGTGGACTATCGCCAGAAACAGGTGGTGATCGTGAGCCAAGACAGCTTCTACCGGGTGCTCACCTCGGAGCAGAAATCCAAAGCACTCAAAGGCCAGTTCAATTTTGACCACCCAGGTGAATGGAGAACAGTGCTGGGGCTTTACCATGCCGGAGGGGTGAGGGCAAGGGCTGGGAGTGGGACCCCTTGCTCCACCAGCAAAGAGTTTTGCATGGATGCTGGGACTCTGTCTCTGCATGGGGCAGGAGTGTGGGTGGCTTAGTTAAGCTCTTGTGGAGCTGGGTGCGTCCCTGGCAGGCTGGCTGGGTGACCACCTGTGTCCCCTGCAGTACATCCACTGTCTCTGTTGGGGAAGAAACTGCCCCTGGGGTGGTTTAGGATGAGAAAGGGCAGGTTATGAACCCTGAAATTCCTTAAGACACTCAAAAAGCATCTGCTGATTTGAAAACCTCTCTGGTGCAGCTGGGAACCAGGGAGGTCTGGCCTGGCAACGGCCCCCTGAAGCCAGCAGCTCTGTGTCTCCCCTTCAGGGAGAGAACCGTCTTGTGCAGCTACTGTGCAGACCCCTCCACCGAGAGGGCTGTGCCGTGGCCCTACAACAGGGGCTCTTTAAGCCATCTCCAGGCTTGGTGTGGAAATTCCAGAGCCACTGTCCCTTCGTCCCCATGAGGACAATGACCAGAGGCAGTGAGAACTGAGCAAACAGAGCCCTGTCTGTCCAGCCACTTGAGGCTGGAACACTGCTCCAGTCTCTCTGAGGGCTGGAGCCCTGGAGGAGAGCCTTCCCGAGCCTGGGCTGTCAGCGCCACCATACAAGGGCAGTATTGATCTCTGCGGGCCAGATCCCAGGGTGATGTAAAGTATTCAAGGTCCCCAAAAGCTGGGCTTGGCTATGCCCATGGGGATGTGCTGGGCTTTGATCTTGAGTCTGCATTGATCTGTGCCCAGTGTGGGGTGCTGGTGGCTCTGGCAAGGCGTCTGGTGGGTGGGAGAGGTTGCAAAGCTGCCTCGGGTAACATTTCCTCTCTCCTCAGATGCCTTTGACAACGAGCTCATCGTGAAAACACTCAAAGAGATCACGGAAGGGAAGACGGTCCAGATTCCTGTCTATGACTTTGTCTCCCACTCCAGGTCTAACAGCTGCTCCTGTCTCGCTGTGCCTCTGCTAACGCCCTGCGGCGCAGCACGCAGCCCCGCCAGCCCAAACCGCCTGCCCCTCCGCTTGCGCCCGCTCCTAGGCACCTGACGTGCCAACCGAAAGCGTCAGTCCAGACCCCTTGGTTATAGAGGATCCAGGGCAGATACAGGCGCAGTCTGAGGGTCTGGAAAGCTGCACAGCCATGCAGTGACATCCAGGCATCAGCGCAGGGGGGTTATGATCCCCCTTTTTCTTCCCCAGTCCACACTTCCTCTCCCCATAAACTCTGTGTTTGCAGCTTTAACAAGCATTCTAGGCTCAAACAGCCCAGCAGTGCCAGGAAAGGAGGAGGACGACAGTTGTTGCTGCTGTAGCTCTTCTCTTGCGTGTCTGGCTTGTTTTCGCATGCCTGTGTTGGTTGTGAATGGCGTGGCCCTGCTCCATTTCCCACAAAAGCGCTGTGCTGTCAGGGGAGTGCTGCCCGCTTCCCAGGGGAGCGGTGCTGGCCCGTGCAGGTTCCCATGGGTCAAGTCCCCCTGCATGGGCTTTCTGGCTTGGCACATAACACTGGGAAGCAGCAGCTGGCCGAGGTGGGGGGAGGAGGGCTGGTCTGCCTCCTGCTCTGCTGTTTGTCCTTCTGGGAAACGTATGTATGCCTTGGATTCCCTTCACCGTGGTGGGGCTGGTCTGCCCTCTCCCTGGTGCAGCAGTGATGTCCCGGGGTTGGAGCAGCGCTTAGGAGCACCGCTGTTTCCCCACACAAGCATATTTTAACTCCTTCTCTCTCCTAGGAAAGAGGAGACGGTGACCGTGTACCCTGCCGACGTGGTGCTCTTCGAAGGCATCCTGGCCTTCTACAGCCAGGAGGTGCGGGATCTCTTCCGCATGAAGCTCTTTGTGGACACGGACGCAGACACCCGGCTGTCCCGCAGAGGTGAGGCCCTTGTGCCTTGTGCAGCAGGGACAGAGGTGTCGCTGCGGTCAGCAGGTACCTGCAGGGAAGGGTGCACTGGACCGGGCAAAGCATCCCGACAGTTCAGTTGGAAGGCAGTGCCTGCTGGATCCGCTCAGGGCCTGCGGTGTGGGTGTGATCCGCGGATGGCGTTTGGGTGCGGGGGTGTCTGTCGGGGATGGCGCAGTGCAGATAACGAGTCTTGTTGTACATCTCAGTCTGTGGGAGCACAGCCAGCGCAGAGTGGGGTCTCTCTGTGGTACTCGGCACTGGGGGTGTTGGCTTTGGGGGCAAAGAGCCCTAGAGACCAGAATCGCAGAATGGTTTGGGTCGGAAGGGACCTTAAAGATCATCCAGTTCCATGCCATGGGCAGGGACACCTTCTGCTAGACCAGGTTGCTCCAAGCCTCGTCCAGCCTGGCCTTGGACACTTCCAGGGATGGGGCATCCACAGCTTCTCTGGGCAACCTGTCCCAGAGAAGACCTTCCCACCTTCTCCGTGAGGAATATCTCTCTCCAGGACTCCCCATGGCTTGGCAGCTGACACAGGAAGGGCTCCAGCTCTGCAGGGTCTGCATGCCTTGAGATCATTTCAAAGCAGCCTTTGGGAGTGGGGTCACTAGTGCAGCACCCGGATGACTAAGAAAGCATTTGGGCACTCTTGGGGCAGAATTCAGTTCTGTCTGGACTGTCCCTACCCCTGCCTGGCTTCGACGGACTCCACAGGGTGTCTGGAGATGCATAAGATGACTTAGAGGAGGGATCCCACCTGGACCTCTGTGCTCTGACGAGAGGAGCATGTGTCTGTGTCAGCCTGGGACTGCTTGTGTGCATGGGACTGTTGTACCCTGCGAGGGAACTGGTCTTGCCTGCCCTCCTGCTGTCAGACCAGACAAATAGACAGCCTCCGCCCCTGTTGGGATGCCATCAGTGCTGATTAAAATCTCCTTTTTACGCATCCTTCTTGACCCTGCCCACTGTTCTTGCATGACTCATCCTGGGAGGTGACAGCGCAGTCATTGCAGGGAGACGGATTAGGAGGTCACGGATATGTATTTGCAAGATCCCGCAATGTGAGCCTTATCCCTTAAGCAGACTGTGCTGCGCTGGCTCTTGGGTTCACAGCCAGCCACAGGGTAGCACACATTTTTGGCAGTGCCCTGGGTGTCGGTGTCGTGGCGCTGCGAGTTAGGGCAACTCATCCTGGTAGGGAACTGGCCACGTGGCAGTGTCCTCGCCTGCTGTCACCAGTTGGTGGGACCGCTGCAGCAGCAAATCTGTTTACTGTACGTCTCCCTGGTATTTCTGGGAAAGGAGAGCTCTTGTGTGAGGTGCTGAAGGTATAATCGTGTCCCTGGCACGTAGCTGGAGGCGGCTTGTTGGGATCTTGTGTTGTGACATGGCCCTGAGTCATCTTGCTGTCTCAGAAGTCCTGAAGAGTTGCAGCAATGGGCTTTTCCGCTGGGCAGCAGTGGCAGATGAGGTTCTTGGAAGCGTAGCTGACAGCTCAGTTAATCAATAGCGCTGGGGTTCAGTACGTGCAACTGGTGCTGTCCCCGTCCCGGCACCTCTCCCAAGAAAAACGCCGCTATCAGAGCACAAGGGGCAAGTCGGGTGCCTCAAACAGCCTGATCTGTGAAAAAATGATTCTGGCTGAGGTCCCTCTTGGTGCCTGTCAAACAAAGACCAAGTGGGGTGTCATGTGCATGTTTTGGGCCCAGTTTGAGTGATGGCTGTGGATGGCTGCCCATCCTTGGGGCGTTTGCCTGCCCTGCGAGTAGAGGGTGATGCTTCTAGATAAGGTGTGTGGTCTTATCCTGGGCTGTGGAGACCCGTTGCTTTGGGGCTGGGTCCAGGACAGCGGGTGCTCGACTTGTGTTTGTGTGTGGGGCGATTGCCCTGCTGTGGTCCACCCTGGGAGCGAGCAGGGGAGTTTTGCCCTGTCCAGACCAGCCCCTGCAGCGTGGGCACTCGGCCTGTGCAGCTCGCAAGCCTCGTGCGCACCATCCCAGGCTGGGTGTGCTGTAAATACACCCTCGCTGCACTCCATCCCCGCCCCGGAGCAGCCAACACGCAGGGTGTGGGACCGGGGAAACAAAAGTGTCTCTGTTTTATTTTCCTTGCCTGTTTTTCTGTATTGTTTGACATGGGGCTTGCGCCCGCTCTCTAGAGAAGGCAAGGAGCTGGCTAAAGCAGGCTGAGCTGAGCTGTTCCTGGAGCAGGCAGGGAGCTGGCATGCATCCTGCTGCCAGCCCTTTCTTTCCCCATCACCTCCCCTGCACGGGGCTGCGAAAGGGCACGCTGCAGAGCTGTGGGCTGAGGGCAAACAGAGCCGTGGGGATGGTGCCAAACCAGCACTGGGAGAACAGCACTGTCCTGGCCCTGCAAGCACGCGGGCAACGGCTGCCGAGCACGCTGGCAGTGCCGTGGCTTGGCATGTGGAAAAGGCTTTCTCCAAACCCTGTGCCAGGCGCTAGCACGGCTGGGGAGAAGCCCAGCCGGCCCCTTGGGGAAAGCCAAGAGCCATCTGCTCATCCATAGAGCTGTTTTGGCTCTTCCACGTGATTTTAATTCCTTCTGAACTGGGGCACTTGTGTACACTGTTGTGGCTTCAGACCGGACATGGCAATGACCCAAATACCTCGTGCAAACAGGATGTAAAGCTGGAATGCAGAAGAAGCAGGAGGCCAGCTTGCTCTCCTGGCTTCCTCCTGAGCTGATGTCTAAGCACCTCCTTAGTTTCTGTGGGAGCCTGCTTCGCCTTCCCATCCCACTCGGCTGGGGACAGCACAAGGTACCTGGCAGGTCAGGGCGGATGGGTGAGTTTTACACTCCTCACCTCTGCAGACATGAGTTAAACTGCGCCACAATTTGTGTGTGTGAACCTCGCTGCGTTTCTGGGTGCCTCTGCACTGGGGTGACTGGGAGAATGCCCCATCCTTAGGCCAAGGGCAGGGCAGAGTGACAGGAGGGATGCGAGGGCTGAGGCTGGGAACAGTTAGGACTGGGGTGGCACTGGTTACAGCTGGAACGTGCTTGCACAGCTGAGTAGGGAGGGATGCCAAGAAAAGCCCTTGGTCAGGTCAGCCAGCCCTTGGTTCCTGGGGAAGTTTGGAAGGGGGTTAAAAGCCTGTAGTTGGGCTGGGGTGTGTGAGGACATGCGGGCAGCAGCTTCCAGGAACAGAGGCCGAGGGCACAATACCCATGTGGCTGGCCAAAGGCTGCACTGAAGGGAAGGGGGATGGAGTGATTCATGTTTCGGCTCCTGACTGTGCCTTACGTCTTCCCCGCAGTGCTACGAGACATCAGTGAGCGAGGCAGGGACCTCGAGCAGATCTTATCTCAGTACATCACCTTCGTCAAACCTGCCTTCGAGGAGTTCTGTTTGCCAGTAAGTAAGGGGAGTGACACCCACAGGAGTCTGCCAAAAATACCTTACCCAGCTCCTCAGGCAGGAGCATTTTATGCCCCAGAGCTCAGGTCAGCCTGCCTCTCCTTGTTCCCTTCCTGCAGGCACTGTCAAAAATGGGGGTGCCAGTGCTGGCCAGGTCAGGGAGAGATGGGGACTACTTGTACAGCCACTGCCTTCCTGGTGAGATGACCCTTCCCTGTGGGAAGGCTGACATGGCAAGAGGAACCCCCACCCTGCACAGGGTCTGGCGCAGCAACGCCAGGCAGCTCAGCAGATGCCAATCTGGGAGGGAAGGTCCTTGACAGCATCTAGCCAGGAAGGGGAGATCCCTGCCCTCAGGCAGTGTCTGCAGTGTTTGCCTCCTGTTTTGGGCTGTTCTGCCTGCCCTTTTCACCCTGTACTGCTGCTGGCTGGATGCTTGGGAGAGCAGGGCAGCTTCTTTGGTCTGTGCTGCGGGATGTGGCCTTGCAGGTTTTATTTTCTGGCTAGCGAGAGGTCAAGCAGACAGAAATCACTTGGGGTCAGGGTTGCAAGGTCTGCTTGGAGAACGGAAGCTGCTCTGGGAGCTGATGACTGAGGCAAGGCTCCCTGGCAGATGAGGACTTTGCATGCAGGAGACGACTGCAGTCCTGCAGGACTCGCAGGTGAAATGGCACGTTTGCAGGACTAGCTGTTGCACACCTCTGTGGCTGTCGTGGAGAGGAGCCTGTACCTTTGTTATCAAGGCTTTTCAAGCTGGTGTGGTAGTTATATGAGGGATTTTGTCTTATTCTGGAGGAACTGAGCCAGCAGAGTCCTGAAAGCTAGGAACTGCTGGCCAGGTTCACAGGCAGGAATTGAACCTGTGCCTCCAGCCTCAGGAACCTGTGTGCCTGTCTATGTGGCCAGATCTGCCCTTTCCCATAAGAGGGAGCCAATTCTTTCCGTACTTTTCCTGGATCCTGGACAGCACCCTTTTCTCTCATGCCCAGTTGTGGCTCTGGGGACCAAGGGCCAATTCCAGTGTAATCCCAGAAACGTTTTTCCTGAGGCAGGTCCATCTTGGTGCCTCCCCTCCTTGCAAGTCCCCAGCAAGGTAAATCCGCAGCACTGCAAAGCAGCAGATGTTGCATCAGTCTCTTCTGTTGAAGAGACCGTAGGGAGGATGAAATGTGAAACAAGGAGTGTAGAAAAACACCTGCTTTGTCCCTACCCACCAGCTTTGCAGTGGGCTGGTCCTACTTCCCAGCCAGTGGTGGGCTCAGCTGCAGAGCAATGGTGTGCGGGTGTCAGGCAGGCTCGGCACCCATGGCAGCTGTTACTCGACTCCTCAACCAGCTCTGGGCCCAGTTGGTTCAGCACTGAAATGATCCAGCATGTCCTGGTGATTTTTTGACATGGCTGGAAGCACCTGGAGATGTGAAATGACACCCTTCTCCCATCAGACTGGCCTGTTTACTGATGGTAGAGCTTGGCTGTCGGGAAGCTGATCAGCTGTAAAAGCTGACACAAAGGAGAAAACAGAGACTGGCACCTGCAGGTGAAAGTAGGTCAAGACTGGTGTCCTGAATCAGACCTTTTTTGCAACTAATGCTGGTAGAAAATTCTCCCTGCATCTCCAGCAGATCAAACGGCTGTGCCTTGCGTGTCCATGCAGCCCAGACGTGACAACTCTTGCACCAGGTCTGGCTGGATTCAGTGGGGAGGTTGTTCCCAAAAGCGTCAGCTGCTGGAGTCTTGCCATCATGAGGCTTTTTAATTTCAGGTTCTGTTAGGGTGCATCTTACTGAAATCTGTACGAGCCCATGAAAATGGAGTCAAGGCGCAAAGCATGGCCCTCGAAACACAGAGCAGAAGACGAGCATCCAAAATGTATTAACAGCAACGACATAGCTCCCAGTGGGTTTGGGGTTGGCAAGGGGAGGGGAAGGACCTGCCCCAAGAAGCAGGGACAACACACCAGCCTGGGGACTCTCCATTTTGCCCATAACACCCTGTGCTCTCTCCTCCCAGACCAAGAAGTACGCGGACGTGATCATTCCGAGAGGAGCGGATAATGAAGGTGAGTGGACCCAGACTCTGCTGTTACGTCCTGGCAGCTGGCTTTGAGCTGTTGCTGTTGTGGTGGAGTTAGGTGGGAGGTAGCAGGACCTGCCGCAGAGGTGACTCGGGCCACTGTCACCTGAGAGTGCCATGACCATACGCAGACTGAGATGGGCCTCTCCCCTTTGCTTCTGCCTGGAGCATTAGTGCCTGGGGGTTTGTGCTCCTCTGATTAAGCCTGGGAGCATGTCTGTGTGCAGTGCGTCCAGGCCAGCTCCTGGTTCAGCCCACACAAAGGGAAACGTGCTTCTCCAAGGCCAGGCGTGCAGCTGGGACAGACAGGTCTCCACCTGGCTGGAATCAGCCTGTCCATACTGGCTTGAGTGGCGGGCTCAGCCGGAGCAGAGGGATGAAGTCCCAGCAGGGCAGCTCCTCCACACAGGGCACCATGTGATAGGGGATAGGAGCAGGGGAGACATCCGGATTATCATCTCTGGCTTGGACCTAGTTTATTTGTCGTGATCCTAATGCAATCTTTCCCTCCCTTTTGCTCACAGTGGCCATAAACCTGATAGTGCAGCACATTCAGGACATTCTTAATGGAGGACTCAGCAAACGCCAGAGCAACGGCTACCTGAATGGCTACCCTCCTCCTCGCCAGCGGCAGCCCTCAGAGTCCAGCAGCCGGCCTCACTGACCCCGGGCGGCAGGCGTGAGGCTGGGGGCGAAGGGCGCTCGGGCGCCTGCCCCTCTGTACATACTGTACGTTCGTTCCCCCCTTATCTATTTAAGAAACCAGACGGAGATGAATGCCTTTAATTTTGTATGTTGGAAATGCCGAACGAGAAGCAGCCGGCTGCTCAGGAGCCTGGACCGCCCACAGCTCCTGGCCTTGCTCAATAACTCCTCCAGCACGGAACCGGCTATAAATCTCTATAAATATAGAATTGCTCTATTTTTGTGTAAATGCAGAATAATGTAAAATTACTTGCCATAAGGTATTTGCCAGGCTCAGTGTTGCTGGGAGGGGGCTGGGAAGAGGATCCCGGGAGATGCTGGTGTCAGGATCCTCACCTCAGAGGTGGTAAGGAAAGAAGAGCATTTGACAGCTGCTTTAGTATCGCAGTGGTCTCCATCATGGGGAAGGGACGGGCTGTGGTGGAGGTGGCAGCCTGTGTGTGGTGTGGATTTTGCGACTGGGCTGGGGTTGCCTCCTCCTGCCGTTGCTGTTCAGGTCCGAGCAGCCAGGTTTGGGCTGGCAGGCACTGCACAGTGATACTGGGAGTTGGGAGAATGATGGTTAATGCCTCCCCTGACTGTCTCTGCACCTCCAGGTCTCAGTCCCTCAACAGCATCCCTTTCTGTGTCTGACACCCCTTCCCAGCACAGGTGGGGGTCTGCTGTCACACCCTCCAACAAGGACCTGGTAGGTGATGCTGGGTATGTGAGCATATAAACCTGGCAGCCTGCATCTTTAGCAGCCCTGGCTTGGGTGGGGATGGCACATGGATACCTCCAGCTCCTCTGAAGCTTGGTGGGACTCCTAGCCAAGCCCTGCACTCAACCCTAAGCCTGGAGGTTGGCTTGCGGGAGGCCAGAGGTGTCTGTCATCCTTCATTTGGAATGGTTTTGCTTTTGGATGGGGGATTTTGCATCTGTTAAGACGTGGTTAAGGGAGAACCAGCCTCTTTTGAAAGAAAGGGGCAATAGATGAAAGGGGCTGCTGCACAGCCTGGCTGAAGGAGGGGCAGCAGTATGTAGCAGTCCCTGAGCTGTGTAGCAACCCCATATGGCACTTCCAGAGGTTCCAGCTGGGTAGCATGAAACTGGAGTCATTTGTTCCCCTTTTTTCAAGTGTGCTCTTGCCTGGCCCATGTCCCTTCCAAGGGGTCCTGGTGGAGGGTACTGTCCCTGCAGTATGCCATTCCCAGTGAGGCCCAGGGTGTGCCCTCTCTTACCCAGGGTGAGAACTGCTCTCCCCTAACCTGGTAGTGCTGCAACAGCTGTGGCCCAGGAGAGGCTGGGAGGGCACTACTGCAGGTCTGGGAATGCCTGGAGAGCAAGATAGGGCAGCTAGGCTGGGGCTCAGTTAGAGCCAGGGAAGCTCCCAGGATGTGGTGGGATAGTAGCCAGGAAAAATCCTTTAGCCCATGCCTGTGGGACTGATTTGCCTCACCAAAACCAAACTTTCATAGACATCCTACAAAGCCTGGACCAGGGACCCTTGGCCTTCCTCCCTCTAATTTTAAGTCTTTCCAGAACATTGGTTTTGCTCTATAAGGTTAAAAGCTTAAGACCTTAGACAATGCTCCATCACTCTCCAGCCCAATGTGAGCTGAGGGAAGCTTTGATTTTTATCGAAACGAACAAGAAAGGAAGCACCTTCCCCACCAACTGCTGCTGGAGCAAACAGATCCCCCCTTTATCTGTGATGGGAGCATGTCAGCCCTTTATCCCCCTCCCTGTCAGCAAACATGCCCAGATGTATGTCAGCTTTGCCATAATCAAGGGCTGGCGCTGGCTAATCCTAGGTGCAGAGGGACCAGAGCCCTGCAGAACTGGCGAGGCTTCTCAGGGCCTAAGCAGCCGAGACATCTCTCAAGATGAAATACTGGCCTCCTTTCCCCTGTAAATAAAGACAGAACGAATGGATGCTGGTGTTTCTTGTCTCCTGTTCGGTGCTGCATGTTGCTGGCTGTAGTCCCGGTGTGGAAGCAGACTTAGTCAACATTGTCTCAGTTCTGAAAGTCAAATCCAGACCTGGAGCAAAGCTCCTGGCACATACTGCTTTGGTGAAGGGAGGAAGTGCTGACGGTAGTGGCTCTGGCTTTTGGCTGACCAGCTAGTCAGCTCTCTGCAAGTCCTGATGCACACTATGGCTTGGAGTGCTTTTGTGAAACCCCTCTGTGTTCTGGGGATGGTGGAGAGATGGACAAGTTCAGCCCTTCCAGTAAGTCTCTTGAACAGATGTCAATGAATTTCATGAGGAGACCTTACAGGCAGGGTGGGATTAGCACTAGGGGGGATTCAGGCAAGGGTGAGGCTGCTTTTAGCAAACACTTGTTGGCACATCGCGTTATGTCAGCATGGATTCACGAAGGGGAAGTCCTGCTTAAGCAGTCTGATAACTGATGAATTGACTGGTTTGGTAGATAAGGGAAGAGCAGTGCATATTGTCTACCATGACTTTGGTCAGATTTTTGATATGGTCTGCCCTAAGGTCCTTGTAGCGAAGCTGTTGATGTATGGGCTGGATGAGCAGACAGGTTAAAAGGTGGCTGAATGGCTGGCCCCAAGAGTGTGGTGATCAGTGTGTGAAACCTGACTGAAGACCAGTAACTAGCGGTGTAGTCAGTACTAGGTCCAAGCCTGTCCAACATCTTCATTAAAGATCTGGATGATGGGGTAGAGTGTGCACTCGGCAAACCTGCTGCTGACACAAAACTGAGAAGTGGAGCTGGTACACCGGAGCGTTGTGCTGCCAGTGGAAAGGAAGAACAATCCCATGCACCGGAACATACTGGGGGCAACCCACCTGGAAAGCAGCACTGCAGAAAAGGCCTTGAGGGTCCTGGTTAACCATGAGCCAGCTCTGTGCCCCTGCAGCCAAGAGGGCTAATGGTATCCTGGGCTGCATGACGGGGAGTGTTTCCAGCAAGCTGATCAAGGTCATTCTTCCCCTCTGTTCACCTGAGGCCACACGTGAGTACTGTGTCCAGTTCTGGGCTCCTCAGTATAAGAGAGGCTTGGAAATACTGGAGAGGATCCAGCGGAGGGCTGCTAAGATGATGAAGGGAATGGAGGTTCTCTCCTATGAGGAAAGGGTGAGAGAACTCTGAATGTTCAGACTGGAGAAGAGAAGGTTGAGGGGAAATCTTAGGAATTTATATCAACACTGGTAGGGAGGGTGAAAAGAGAGCAGAGGCAGGGACAGGACACGAGGCAGTGGGTACAAACTGAAACACAGGAGGTTTCCTTTGCACATCAGGGAACACATGCTGTGAGGGTAACTGAGCACTAGCACGGATTGTCCAGAGATGTCGTGGAGTCTCCATCCTTGGAGATACTCAAAAGCTGTCTGGGCAAGGTCTTGGGCAACTGGCTCTAGGCAGGCCTGGCTGAGCAGGGGGATGGACAAACTGCTCTCCAGAGGTGCTTTCCAACCGCAGCCATTCTGTGAATTTTGGAGTATTTTTAGCATTAGGAAATGCAAATACTTTTCTTGTTGTTGGCCCACTCAGTCACAAACACCAGCTGTCTCTGCACACATTGGGGTGAAGGCCTTGGTAGATGACACTGGTGGGCTGCTGAGCTCCAGGTTCAGCTGGCAGATGAGCTGGCACCAGCTCTATCACTTCTCTTGTGTCCCCGACCTTGGCTATGTGTTACTGTCCCTCATCCTGGGGAATTCCAGCACAGCTGTCTGTGAAGTGGCACCTTATGTGAGACTTGAACTAGTGAACAGGGCAGTAAAAAGGCCCTGAACGTAGCAGGGAGATGGCCATGCTCTCTGTGACAATGGGTGGCTGCTTCAGGTCGTCAGGACTGAATATCCAGTCAAGGTGGATCCAAGGGCAAAGGTGACTGAGGAACAGAGACACCAAGCAGAGAGCCATGGAGAGGAGGCTCCGCCTGGTTCTCCCCATCGTGGTCTCTCCTGAGAAAAAAAATCTACGCTCAAACTGGCTTAAGCTGTCAACCAAAGTTGCATAGAGCAGCCTGGCTCGCAGCGCTGCCTTCCATGTTGCCGCTTCCCTGGATGCCCTCGGTCCCGAAATGACACGTGCTACAGGAACAATGCACTTTATTGATCTGGCAGTGCTAGAAGATGGCGAAAGCAGGCTGCTCCCAGCAGGAGTTCTGCTGAGTTTCCCAGTGTCGTGGTTTAACTCCGG